TCAATTAAAAAATAAAAAAACTGTAGCCCTGTAAATGTGCCTCTTTAACTTCAATTGTTGACGCAAAATACTAAGGGGTCCATAAAGATTATCCCATAACGTGCATCATGCAAGGCTGTGGTCATAGATACCCTGGGACTCGAAAAGGCCATGTCATCATACAAAAAAAAGATGTCTAGCATGAAAGGCTTTACAGAATAAAAACGAGGCATTAACATAGCAAGAAAGCTTGCACCTTGCCTTCCTAACTGAAGTACATAGTAGAAATGCGTACGCACAGTTGGCAGCCCAAGGAAACATTCCTGCCTCGACCACTTCTGCAGGGGGACTGCTCATGATCTCCAGTGTGGCTGGAACAGGCCACACATTCTTCTATGAATCAACTGACTTATGTACATCTGAGCAAGTTTCCCAGTCTCTATGTGATCACTAGCCCAAACTCTGAAACAAGGGGACTAGTGCTGAGGTTGTACCTGCCTAATAGAGGGTTTAACAGGGAGGAAGCTACTGCTTTCTCTCCCTCCTCCCCACCCTAATTCTTCAGACAAATTAAAATTTGGCAATAAAACAGTTGATTCTTGACATTTGAAAGAGATATGTCAGTAGAAATTCCTATATTCACAAATTCACAAAAATATATTCTTTTAGAAAAAAAATAATAAAAGGGCTTGCTATTCATTGATAGGAACTGATTCACTCCAGCATACCAGCCCCTTAGCCTGCAGCATTCATTTGTGCTACCACCTTTGGTACATTTTCTCATTTAACATTCACAATGACTCTTTGGAGGCCAATGTTATTATAATTACTACTATTTTTAACTATTCCAAATTGCTTCAAGTAGAAGAACTTGGGGAGGGTTGCAAAAAGTCTGCAGAACAAATATAAAATCTGTGATTGCTAAGGATCCGATGTATCAAGAAGAATACTAGGAGATGGTGCTGGAGTTGATTTCCTTTCCAACTAGTCCCCAGAACTGGCTGCCTACCTTCCTTGGCCCTCTGTGCAGCGGCCGCTGGTATGCTGTGGGCACAGTACACCTCCCGGGTCTGGATCCCACCGCCACAAACAGGTCCTGTCACATGCCAATGGGGGTCCTGCTGCTCGAGGAGGAGAGAGACTTGGCATTCCTTCCACTCAGAGGTTCTCCAGGAATACCTGTTTGTTCGATTTATTTAAAAGAAGAAGAAGAAGTAAGGAAAATATACAGTTCTAAAGGAAACTTAAGTCATGACATCAAGTGTCATAATCTCTCTTCCTAGGGCCAAATCTTTACCTATGGATAAAGAAGTCTACTGGCTTTGAATCATAAATCCCTTTTATTTCCTAGAGAAAATCCAGCTGCCCATCATGGTAATAGATCAGGATGACCACACTGAGGGAAGGTAATGTGGATAAACAGTGGGTACATCTCAGCCTTGAAGCTGGAAGAGACCAAAGAACTAGAGGAAGGAGTTGAAACCCAATGAGCCTAGTTTGTGGCAGGTGAACTTGTCAAGAGGTTTCACTTCACAGACTTCTACATGACTTTCTGTGAGTTGGCCATTCGTTTTTATTAGTAGGGTAGTATATGAATGTGTGAAGTTGAGAATATATTATTTTAAATATACAGAAATGACCTCCAACTTTTCGATCTTCTTGATATAAGAAACTCTTTTACCCATCTGACCCTTGCCATTGGGATAAAGGCATACATAATAAACATGAGTTAACACCATGCCACTGTATATACTGATTAATAGTTTTTTACTTATGCAGCCATGCTGTTATTTAAACTGACTTAAGAATATATCCCCATGGTTTATAACTGGTTAAAAAGCCCTCTAATACACACACACACACACACACACACACACACACACACGGAAAAAACATAAAGGAGCTTGTTTACGGTTAAAAAGCCCTCTAATACACACACACACACACACACACACACACACACACACACACACGGAAAAAACATAAAGGAGCTTGTTTACAACTTACAGAAAATGACATTCATACCTGGAGAGTTATTTCAGAGAGAATTTCCTTTTGTGGGTTATCACAGCATTTCTCAAGCCTACAGCATTAATACAACCTATAGCACTCACATAAATACCAACAGACTTATTAACTTCTGGAACAATAAACGAAACCTAAGAACATTCTCTTATCTGCTGTCCTATTTCAGATTAGAAGAAAAATTTCTCAGCTTTGTGATTGTTTAAGGGAAAAAGAAAAACAACAGCAATAAAAAAAAATCACGTGTCAGCAATAACCTGGCCTTACAGAAAGTAGAGCAAAATTGAAATCCAGTAACAGACATCAAAATAAGAAAGCAAATCTCTAAGAAACCTAGTAGTGGCCAAACCTGAACCTCACAATGAATGTCGCCATTCTAAAAAGCTGGAAAACTGAGAACCATTAGTCTTGTCAAAAGCCCACTGTAGTAAAAGGATTAGCACGATCCTTTGGGATTAGTTGTGACACAATTTTTCTCCCTCAGCCTCACTAGTTGATTCTCACATGGTTTTCTCAGGCTTAAAAATTAGTCGGTGGGCCAGGCAAGAGTTTGAAGTGCAGAGTTCGGGTCCTACTTACTCCAGGTGAATACAGACAGTCATGCATTTCTAATTGCTGGGCAGGAGAGACTGGGAGCAGTTTAGTTCTTCCCAGAGACAGGTCTTCTCCAGAGCTGAAGCTCCGAAGCCCTCTCTCCTCACACAGAGTTCTCATCTTATTTTCTATGATCACTTGAGCAGAGGGCTTGTCCTTCGTGTTTCAGAATCTCAGGGCATAGGTAGCCGTGTATTCCAGAGCAAAATACAATGAGGGAGGGGTATATGTTGGGGTGAGCGGTTACCAAGTTTCTATTTCAAACCTTCTTCTCCCAGGGGTTCCCTAAAAGAAGAACTTTGACTGTTAAGGAGGAGGTCAGATACAGCAGCTGACTGATAGGCCCCTATGATATAGCTGGCAAATAAGAAAGGCAAAATGGCTAGTATAGTTCGACACTTTGGAGTTAAACCAACCTGGTTTCAATCTGAGCCTTGCCACTTCCTAGTCATGTGACTTTGGCCCAGTTCTGTTTTCCCATCTGTGAAATGGGCATAATAATATCAAACACTGAACCTGGCATATAATAAATGTTCAATCAATGTTCATTCCCTTTCTTCTTATGTCCTTCTATATGTGCCCTTTGCCCATTGCTGACACAGAAAACACACACACACATCACTACACACAGAATCGACCTTTTATTTATGAGGATTTCATTGATTTCATTAAAAGTCTACTATTAGAGATCCAGGATTGCCATGGTCTGAGTTCCAGCAACCAAAGTTCACCAAACAGCATGGAAGAAACATAGAGTTTAGAGTTATAGGAAGTCACAATAATTTTTTTGCTTGACCTTTTATTTATGAGGATTTCATTGATTTCATTAAAAGTCTACTATTAGAGATCCAGGATTGCCATGGTCTGAGTTCCAGCAACCAAAGTTCATCAAACAGCATGGAAGAAACATAGAGTTTAGAGTTATAGGAAGTCACAATAATTTTTTTGCTTGTTTCAAAGGAATGGGCCATGCCATTTAAATTGCTTTTACAATTAATTTATCATGACCCTGTAAAAATTAGTGACTTCCAAAATTCCTCCATTGCTATGTAGAAAAATGAAAAGAGGAGTTTAATGACTATGGTTTAGTATAAAGTAACACAAATCGTGTTGGTAGCTCATTAACCAAAAACACCCAACTTCCACTCACTGGCAAATGATAAATTCTCAAAATAAATATGTTTATCATTATCACTATTGTTTGCTACCTTAGAGAAAATACCAGCCCAGCAAGAGGCAGAGGAAAAAAGCACACCAGGAAAGGACTTTTATACTCCCTTTTTGAAATGTGGGTCTTTTCATAGTCTTTACTCATACTTTTTTCCTTTATTTTTTTTAAAGCTCTGTCTATGCTTAGTCACAAATCACCCAGCAGCCATGAAAACGGAATGTTCTGAACTGCACCAACCTGAGAAAGTATCTCTAGGATCTGACAGAATAAGAAATCAAAGGAGTCCGCTCAGCTAAACGTTCCTCCCTTTCTCCTTTAGAAGTTATTACAGTGATAGTCCTCTAGCCTCCAGAAAACTTGGCTTCTTGATGCCTGGGATGCTCTCTTTAATGGCTGTGCTCATGTCAAAGACCGGGTCATTTCAACCCCCTACCTTCCAATTCCAATGCCTTTCAACACATCCTCATTTTGTCCTCTTGCTTAGGAGGGGAATATAGGGAGCCTCAAAGGCCGGAGTCCTATCTCCTAAGGGTGAGCAGTACTTTGAAATTGGTCATGGAAATGCCTCAAGCAGACTAAGTGGCCATGGAATGAAATAAATTAATTAATTCTCATAGCCCCTTACCAATGTGAGCATGTAGAATCAATTTGCCTTCTTCAAAGGTTCTGGCTGAACAGAATAAACAAGGCATTAATTTCTTTGGTCTACTAGGTGTCATGACAGATCCCCCAAGTAATAAAATAACAGCCTACATCTTTTGCCTTCTCACTCTATGCTAGGCACTGCACTATGAATTTAGATGCATTACTTCATTTAATCCTCCCAACACCCCTACAAAGGAAATATTATTTATCCTTTCACAGACAGAAGAATTATTTGTGGGTGACAATGATGTTGTCAGTGACAACTGACCAATAATAGTTCACACTGCCAAAATAATTTTCTTCTAATCTCAAACACAAATACAGTTTGAGAATATTTTATGGCCAATCATCTTATAATTAAAGTACTGTGGTCACATAGGGTCAAATTTCAGCACTTTCAGGAGACAATTGCAAGTTAAAAAGAGAGACAATATGAAAGCCAAGTAAAGGAAATTCTAACTGTGAAAATTCAAATTCCCACCAAAAGATGCAGAAGATGACTTTTTGAAAAGGAATGCCTTTTCAAATCCCAAAAATCAAATTCCCCACATTGCTCCCTGGTCATTCTGAATGTTAGGTAAACCTGCCATTCATTCATGTGCAACCAACCCCAATGTCCCTGCTATGAGTGAGAGAGCACATTGTCAGCCACTCTGAAACCCCACACCTTTAAGAAGGGGCAGGCTAATAACTCAAATACTGAATCCACATGGAATACAACTCCTACAAGGACATTCTAGTTAAAATAAGGACAGGTAAGACAGACTGACTCCAGAAAGGTGTCATTCTATGAAAGACTTCAGGCTCCACTAGGATTGCCCAAATGGTAGGTATGTCACTTACGCATCCATGGGGTCACCCATCCTTCTTTCAATAGGGAATTCTTGAGCTGTAACTACATGCCAAGGACGATTTCAGACTACAGAGATGTACAGCACTGAGCAAGACAAAGTCCCTGGCCTTGGGAAGATCACTTTCCAGGGGGATGTGCAGACGTAGATGCCTTGATACATAGCATGGCATTAGGTAAGATGGGGACAAGAGAGTGGGATGAAGAGAACTATTTCAGTGCCACGATCAGCGAAGTGCTCAGAGTCCTGAATAAAATGAGAGGTACACACGAACACAGGTGGAAAAGAAGACAAAAAGTGTTCTGGGCAAAGAAGAGCAGGTCCAAAGGCCCCAGAGCGGAGGCTGCTCAACACTTTCCAGGAACAGCACAGAAGCCAGTGGGACCAGGGCAGGTGGATTTAGAGGGAAAGAGCAGAGAAAGGAAATGAGGGTGGTCAAGAACCAGGCCATGTAGAGCCTTGTAGGCCAGAGTAAGGTTTACGAGTGTTATTCCAATGAGCTGGGAAATTGTGGGAAAGTTTTGGGAAGAGTGGTAACGTGATGATGTGATATACGTTTTTAAAAACTCACCCTGGCTACTGGTTAAAGAAAAGCCTATAGGGGACAGGGGAGGGGGGAGAAGCGAGACAAATGTGGAGGGCTTTGCCCGTCTAGGAGAGATGGCATTGGCTTCAGCTGCAGCAGTCACAGCAAACATGGTGAGAAGGGGTCAGAGGTTAAACATATTTTGAAGGTGTAGAGAACCTTCTAATGGATTAGACATGGTATGGGAGAAAAAGAGGGGAATAATGAATGATTCCAATTTTCTTTTTTTTTTTTTTTTGCCCCTAATATTAATAGCACAATTTCTTGGTACTGAAATTTTAGGTGAGACAGCCCCCAAAAGAGGACA